GTCAATTCCCATACAAAAGATGAGGGCAAAGATCCTTCTATACCCGAGGATATGGGCAAAGAAGCAGCCTTACGTTTATTAGATGAAATATATCGTGGTGGTTGTGTGGACTCAGCTTATCAATGGCTGGTGGCTTTGTTTATGACTTTGGGCCAGAAAAATGTTTCGAAATTTATGACGGGTAAGTGTGAATTAAGAAATTTATTTATTAAAATTATAATTTGTTCTAAAATATGTATTTTACAGGTCCTTTGTCTTCCTATACGGTGTACTTTTTACAACATTTACGTGATTTCTTTTCCATTACTTTTAAATTGGAAAATCCCGAAGTGGATGATGATGAAGATGCAGTAGCTGGTGCTCAAAAGGTTTTGCTGACTTGTGTGGGCATTGGTTATACAAATATTAGTAAAAAAGTTATTTAATTTGTATTTTATTTTGATTTCACAATTTAGCTGTAGTTTTATTTAGGAATTCTTTTATAAATAAATTTAAATGAACACAAATTAAAGAAAATTGAGTTTGGAGTTTAAGACTCTGCAGAAAGTTGTCTATGTTTTAAAAGCTTTCTATATAAAATAAACCTCATTAAACACTTTTCTAGAAAAATTACAGTTTTCCTCAAAAAGTAACGAGTTTTCTATAGAAATTTCTCTTTTTAGATGATTGATTCCATATCACTCTGAGATCATGTCTCAATTTAAGTTAAATTTTGGAAATTATTTAAACTATTGCTTATTTTTCCCTATAAATGTATTTTTAAATTTTAGAACTTTTGTTTAGTCTTTTTACTATTTACAAAATTTTTGTATTTTCTCAGATTAGTAATATTTTAAAATGTTTGTTATTAAATTCAAACATTTTCGAAAGTCTACTGCATTAATTTATTTAAATAATTCTCATTGTCTGTTTTGTTTTAGTTTGAATATTTATGAATGTAAATAATAAATTCTAATTATTTATTTTTATAAACTGACCTGTGCATACATAAGTAGATTTTTTTATATTTTCCCTTCAATGCCCTTGAATAAGTTGTTTACAATTTGTTGATTGAAACAAATACAAAATTATCTAAATCGATTTCAAACAGATGCTATTCTAATGTTATAAATTGCTGATTTTTGTTAAATTACATTTATTAAATAATTTTAAAAAAATTCCTGCAATACAAATATAAACTTTTAAACTCTTATTAGGTGGACTAAACATTTTCTATAGTCTGGACAAATTATCGATTTGCAACAATTAAGTTCCAATAAAATCATTCCAACTGAAACTATATATTCTACTATTTACTTGATTTTACCTTAAAGGCTGTTGCACTCTACAACTGCGGATATTAAAATCTCAATTTACATTATTCGACTTATTGGATTAATTTTTGGTAATTATGAAATCATATTAAATTTCAAATAAATAAAAAAATATACATAAAATTATTCGAAAAGTAGAATAAATTAAACAAAAAACACTAATTTATGAAATAAAACAAACGTATCAATTGAAAAATATTCCCACCAATTAGTTTACCTCTTACAATTGTCCAGTCAGCAGTACTATATGCAAAAAAATACAACATTAAAATATAAATAATCAGCAACTAATTGTACTATCATCAAAACTTATACCCTACACTACTCAAGAGGGGAGAGTATTATGCGTTTTCAATGTCTATATAATTGGGTCAAGAATTTTTTGAGTTAATTTAACGATCTTGTATTTAAACTATAGTTTGTAAGGACAAAATTTTGATTTTGACCATTCTTCATAAAATAATGCTTGAAATTTGACACTAGATGTCATAAATTACCTAAGTATAGTTTACTGTTTATTATATAGTCTACTCTATAGACTATTATATAGTCAAGTCTCTAGTCTAGCCTATAGTCTGGTCTATATTCTACTATATAGACCTGTCTATAGTCTAGTCTATAGACTTGTCTATATTTTAGACTATAGTCTCGTCTATAGTTTAGCCTATAGACTAGACTGCGGACTATACTATAGACTAGACTATACAATAGACCTTATACAATAGATTAGAATATAGACTGGACTATAGACTACACTATAGACAGTATAGAATACACTACAGACTACACAATACACTAGAATATAGACTAAACAATAAACTTGTCTTTAAAGCAACTTTGTAGTCTAGTCTATAGCCCAGTCTATAGTCTAGTCTATAGTCTAGTCTATAGTCTAGTCTATAGTCTAGTCTATAGTCTAGTCTATAGTCCTAGTCTATAGTCTAGTCTATAGTCTAGTCTATAGTCTAGCTAGTCTAGCTATAGTCTAGTCTATAGTCTAGTCTATAGTCTAGTCTATAGTCTAGTCTATAGTCGTATCGATTCGGTCTATTATAGTCTAGTCCTATAGTCTAGTCTTAGTCTATCTATAGTCTAGTCTATAGTCTAGTCTATAGTCTAGTCTATAGTCTAGTCTATAGTCTAGTCTATAGTCTAGTCTATAGTCTAGTCTATAGTCTAGTCTATAGTCTAGTCTATAGTCGAGTCCTATAGTCTGGTCCTATAGTCTAGTCTATAGTCTAGTCTATAGTCTAGTCTATAGTCTAGTCTATAGGTCTAGGTCTATGTCTAGTCTATAGTCCTAGTCTATAGTCTAGTCTATAGTCTAGTCTATAGTCTAGTCTATAGTCGAGTCTATAGTCTAGTCTATAGTCCTAGTCATAGTCAGTCTATAGTCCTAGTCTATATCTAGTCTATGTCCTATCTATAGTCTAGTCTATAGTCTAGTCTATAGGTCTAGTCTATAGTCTAGTCCTATAGTCCTAGTCCTATAGTCTAGTCCTATAGTCTAGGTCCCCCCCTATAGTCTAGTCTATAGTCTAGTCTATGTCTAGTCTATAGTCTAGTCTATAGTCTAGTCTATAGTCTAGTCTATCGTCTAGTCTATAGTCTAGTCTATAGTCTAGTCTATAGTCTAGTCTATAGTCTAGTCTATAGTCTAGTCTATAGTCTAGTCTATAGTCTAGTCTATAGTCTAGTCTATAGTCTAGTCTAGTCTAGTCTAGTAGTCTAGTCTATAGTCTAGTCTATTCTAGTCTATAGTCTAGTCTATAGTCTAGTCTATAGTCTAGTCTATAGTCTAGTCTATAGTCTAGTCTATAGTCTAGTCTATAGTCTAGTCTATAGTCTAGTCTATAGTCTAGTCTATAGTCTAGTCTATAGTCTAGTCTATAGTCTAGTCTATAGTCTAGTCTATAGTCTAGTCTATAGTCTAGTCTATAGTCTAGTCTATAGTCTAGTCTATAGTCTAGTCTATAGTCTAGTCTATAGTCTAGTCTATAGTCTAGTCTATAGTCTAGTCTATAGTCTAGTCTATAGTCTAGTCTATAGTCTAGTCTATAGTCTAGTCTATAGTCTAGTCTATAGTCTAGTCTATAGTCTAGTCTATAGTCTAGTCTATAGTCTAGTCTATAGTCTAGTCTATAGTCTAGTCTATAGTCTAGTCTATAGTCTAGTCTAAGTCTAGTCTATAGTCTAGTCTATAGTCTAGTCTATAGTCTAGTCTATAGTCTAGTCTATAGTCTAGTCTATAGTCTAGTCTATAGTCTAGTCTATAGTCTAGTCTATAGTCTAGTCTATAGTCTAGTCTATAGTCTAGTCTATAGTCTAGTCTATAGTCTAGTCTATAGTCTAGTCTATAGTCTAGTCTATAGTCTAGTCTATAGTCTAGTCTATAGTCTAGTCTATAGTCTAGTCTATAGTCTAGTCTATAGTCTAGTCTATAGTCTAGTCTATAGTCTAGTCTATAGTCTAGTCTATAGTCTAGTCTATAGTCTAGTCTATAGTCTAGTCTATAGTCTAGTCTATAGTCTAGTCTATAGTCTAGTCTATAGTCTAGTCTAGTCTAGTCTAGTCTATAGTCTAGTCTATAGTCTAGTCTAGTCTAGTCTAGTCTAGTCTAGTCTAGTCTAGTCTAGTCTAGTCTAGTCTAGTCTAGTCTATAGTCCTAGTCTAGTCTATAGTCTAGTCTAGTCTAGTCTAGTCTAGTCTAGTCTAGCTATAGTCTAGTCTAGTCTATAGTCTAGTCTAGTCTATAGTCTAGTCTATAGTCTAGTCTAATGTCTAGTCTATAGTCTAGTCTATAGTCTAGTCTATAGTCTAGTCTATAGTCTAGTCTATAGTCTAGTCTATAGTCTAGTCTATAGTCTAGTCTATAGTCTAGTCTATAGTCTAGTCTATAGTCTAGTCTATAGTCTAGTCTATAGTCTAGTCTATAGTCTAATCTATAGTCTAGTCTATAGTCTAGTCTATAGTCTAGTCTATAGTCTAGTCTATAGTCTAGTCTATAGTCTAGTCTATAGTCTAGTCTATAGTCTAGTCTATAGTCTAGTCTATAGTCTAGTCTATAGTCTAGTCTATAGTCTAGTCTATAGTCTAGTCTATAGTCTAGTCTAGACTATAGAATAGACTACAGACTATACTATGGACAAGACTATAGATTATACAATATACTAGGCTATAGACCTGTGACCCAAATCTTCATCAATTCTGTCAGACATGCTTTCTAGAAGTTTCCTATTTAAAATCAGCTTTAAGTTAATGCTAATCTGTAGAAAAGGCATTTTGGTACGTTTTCGTTCTATGAATGGTACTTTTTGGTTTTTATGCACACACACGCCACCCTGATTGATCAAAAACCTATAAAAGGGACTTTCTGGTACTTTTCGTTTTACAATTGGTATTTTTTGGTTTTTTGTAATAAAATTTGACACATCATGTTGAAGGGTACATAAGATTCGGCACAGCCGTATGTTGAACTCTTACTTGTTTTTCAATATTTTTGTTGTAATTATATTAAAACATATTGATTTTTTTGTGTAAATTAAAATTTAATAAATCAGCAGAAAATTAAGTACATATTTTGAAAATCAATAGAAATATGAAAGCAACCGCAAATTGTATTACAACAAATCGGTTAAGCAGTATAAATAGCTAGAACTGATAATGAATCAAGCACAGTTCAAAGTTTAGAGTAAACGCGACAAGTTTTAAGGAGCAATCAGGACAAGGAAGAATGAATTCTTTGAGTGTATTATGTGCAGTGGCCTTTTTAGGGGCTACTGCTTATGGCTTGCCTCCAACAGAGATGCGTTCGAATATTGTGAATAGCAGTTTGAAACCTTCACAATGGTTGACTACCAGCGAATTGGAAGATATTCCTGCTTTAGATGAGGTTTCACTGGAGAAATTGGAACAAATGCCACTTGAAAAAGGAGCTACATTAATGCAGAAATTGTGTAAGTGTTTATTGTCTAATTAAAGCTATAGCAAAAAGTTGTTAAAATTCTTTTTTTTAACTCTAGATCATATTTCCCAAATCAACTATCAATTGGCTCCTAGTTTTGTACCCAGTCCCTCTAATATTCCCGTTTATATTGTCAAAAGTAATGGCAAAAAGGAATTAGCCAATTTGAATAACTTTGTCGAAGTGGCCAAACAGGACACAAGTTTTGGCGATGAAGAAGTTACCGTTATTATTACTGGTCTACCCTCAACCACTGATACTGTCAAGAAGGCCAATCGTAAGCTGATCGAGGCTTATATTGAGCGTTACAATCGTAAACAACAGAAACCCGAAAACACCAAATATTCTGCTGAACAAACCGGCCCTCGTACTTCCAGCGAAGAGACCTCTTCGGAATGGCAGAACCAAAAGTCAACCAGTGGAAATTTAATTGTTATCGATTTGGGTCAGACTCTCAGTAATGTTCAACGTTTGGCCATGTTGAATGTAGATGAAACAGGTGCTATGATTGGCAAAGCTTTGGTCCAGCTAACCAATGACTGTGATGTGCCTCAGGAAATTATCCATGTTGTAGCTCAAGGTGTTGCTGCTCATGTTGCTGGTGCTGCTGGAGATGAATATACCCGCTTGACTGGCCATCAATTGCGTCGTATTACCGCTTTGGATCCCTCCAAAATTTTGGCCAAAGACCCTAAAGTTTTAACCGGTTTGGCCCGTGGCGATGCTGAATTTGTTGATGCTATCCACACTTCCACCTATGGTATGGGTACCTTGACTCGTGTCGGCGATATTGATTTCTTCCCTAATGGTCCTAGTGTTGCTGTTCCCGGTGCTGATAATGTTGTTGAAGCTACCATGCGTGCTACCCGTTATTTTGCTGAAACTGTACGCCCTGGTAATGAACGCAACTTCCCCGCTGTCGAAGCCAATTCCATGAAACAATATAAGAACAATAATGGTTTCGGTAAACGTGCCTTTATGGGTATTGCTACCGATTTCGATCTCAGAGGTGATTATATTTTACAAGTCAACGATAAGAGTCCTTTCGGTATGAGAGCTCCTGCCCAAAAACAAATCACCTATCATGGTGTCCATGATGCCTGGCGTCAGGGTAGAGATGAATAAAAAGTATTTGTAATGTGATCAGCATTAGTGGACATTGTATTGCTTGGAATAATAGACATGAACTGTGAACTAATGCATCTATGGTATTTCAAAATTTTGTAGTAGTACTTAGTTAAAATAAAGCACTTTTTTCTAAAGCGGAAATTTTTTTATTGATTTTGTTTTTTTATGGATTTTTTAAATTGTTCTGAACCCTTCAGATTCTCGAGAAGTAATTTGTACAACTAAATTTTGCGACCCCATACATATGTATATATACATATTAAGATTTCCCGTTAACCACTTTTTTGTAGGAATAGCTCTCAAACTACGTGTATTATTGTACTAAATACGAGAAAAATAAAAAATATCAGTCAGATTCCTACCAGCGATTGATAATCGTGATCTCAGTGAAATATGTTAAAAAAAAATTTGTCGCCAATCTTTTCGAAATGGTTCTTAAATATTCGGTATTTTTAAGCTTATCACGAGAAAAATAATTAAAATTTTTGTTGGAGTATTTCTGGTCCGCAAAACGAGTGATTTCAGAACTTTAAGAAACTACAATTAAATTAGATTTTTCAAATAAAAAAGATTTTTAAGGAAAATATCTAGTAAAGATCACTAGATTTCTTCGATATTTTTTTAATAATACGTTGTTCTAATTGAAAAGTATAAACACAACTGTTCAGTTGCAATGATCTCTTCCTATACAGTAGCTAGTTTTAAAAATTTCCAAATCAGCATTTTTTATGCCTACCCCTCTCCCTTTTTAATGGTAGGTATAAAAATTTGATTTGTTATTCCATTTGCAACACTTCGAAATATTGATCGTAGACCCTCAAATAATGATCTAGTTATGCCTTTGCTCCCGAATTTAAATATGTTAGTTTAGTTTAAAAGGGTTGTATAATAAGGTATGGAGACCCAAATGGTCGTTTGTGTTTCCCTTTACAAAAGTATGAAGAACAAGAAAAATAGAAAGGAGACAGAAGCAGAAAAGAGTGAGAGAAAGTGAGAAGAGGATTACAGACAGAAAGTGGACATGGCAGGGAATCATCCTTGTCCATGTATCTAAATAACCAAGATATTCCCCTGATGAAACGTACTATGTCGCCTAAGCCACATCCTGCTAAATTTTTCAGTTCATCGTGAAATCTTCTACCAAGCCATTTCAGTCTCCGACTCTGTACTCTAAGACAGCTGCATAAGATATGACCTACTGTTTCCAATTGCTCTTTGTCCTCACACACACTACAAAAAACCTGCGTGTTACCAACCATATTACCCCTAAAGGCCCCAAATGCGCAGTGACCAGTTATTAACCCTATATACTCTTCTTATTCATTCCTAATAGTATTCTGGATGCTTTTGGATTTAATTTAGGCAATATTGCCTTAGAAACCCTTCAATCTAGCCTACTGTGCCAGAATCGGTTATTACATATAGTAAGTAAGGGTTTTACAGAACTATCCCTACTACTAAGGTCAAGCTCCGAATCCTGTCTGGACAACTTATTTGCGATCTCGTTTCTCTGAATGTTACAATGTTCCGGTACTCAACACAGCCTCACTATGTATAACCTAACTAATGATTCCAGGTCCCTTCTGCATCTAGTTACCAAACAAGAATGTGACATGTGACTTTGTAAAACTTTAAGAGCTGCCATACATCTATATAAATCGTTACTTTCGACTCCCTAGTAATGTGTGTCTTAATGATCGCCAAGATCCCCGCCTAGAAGACGCTACATTCACCCGAATGTCTATAGGACACTCCTATGTTGTTATCAACCAGAGAAACTTCGGTCCACCGTACCAGATTCCATCTTGGATCCATCAGTAAAAACTGCACATCCCTCAAACAGTTCTAAGTATGTTAAAGAATGTTAGAGTTCAAACGAAATTAAGTAGAGGTCGAATATTCTTTATTAACAAAGTATTTTCTTGTATAAAGATAAGAACCTTAATGCTTCTGAACTATAAATCTGAATTGCAGTTTAATTCATTACATTTCAGACAAGTTGACTGAACTTTCATAATGTATTCTAAATTTGTTCTATTTAAAATAATTGTAACTAATCGATTTCTTATCATTACACTTGCTAAAAACAAACTATTTCTTAAAGTCATTGACCACTTACATAATAATTAATTTAAATAATCAGTTTTTTTTATAGATTTTCTTTAGAAAATTATAAAAAAAATAATATTTAAAAATAAAGTTTTTCATAATTTAAGCAAATTTGAGGCTAAATAAATCAATTTACCAAACTATAAAAACCTGTATATGAATCAACAAACAACACAGTTCAGTTTTGACTTTCGATTAACGGCATCGTCTGAAAACTAGCAAGAATGAGTCCCTCGAAGATTTTCTATGTGTTTGCTGTAATATTAGCAGCAAGTTCTGCTCGAGGAACTCTATCTGTACTCAACAAGTTGAGACCTTCGCAATGGCTGCCCTCAGCACATCTGGAGGTAATACCCTCGATCGAAGAAATCTCTCTACAAAAGTTGGAAAATATGGCAGTGGAAAAGGGTGCTGAATTAGTGGAAAAGATTTGTAAGTTAAATAATTGTTTTCAAATAACAATACCGTAATTATATAATACTTTATTCCCAAGATCATTTGTCACAAATTAATCATGCTTTGAAGCCCAACTTTGTGCCCAGTCCCAGCAATGTTCCCTGCTATATTGTTAAGCCAAGTGGTCGTAAAGTATCCACCTCTTTGGACAAATTGGCTTCAACTTGCAAACAACAACCCAACTTTGGTGATGAAGAAGTAACTATTTTCATAACCGGTTTACCCGCCACTACTGAATCCGTTAAGAAGGCCAATCGTATGTTGATCAATGCTTATCTCCAACGTTACAATACCAAGAAACAACAACCTCAAAAGTTCGATTATTCCGGCGAGAAAATGTCACGCACTTCCAGCGAAGAAGACTCTAGTGAATGGCAAAAACAACAGTCCTCCTCAGGCGATCTTGTGGTAAGTTAATGAAAGTTATTTCTTAAATATTTCCTAGAGCGGTTAAAAACATTACTTTTTCTCTCTATAGATTATTGATTTAGGTGCTAAATTGAATAGCTTCACACGTTTTGCTTTGTTGGATGTTGAGGAGACTGGCGCCATGATTGCCTCCGCTATTATTGATATGACCGAGAAATGTAATGTTGCCGATGAAACTGTCCATCTTGTTGCTCAAGGTATTGCTGCTCATGTTGCTGGTGCCGCTGGTAATGAATATACCCGTCAAACTGGTCGTCAATTGAGACGTATCACTGCCTTGGATCCTTCCAAAGTTTTGGCCAAGGATCCTCACACTTTGACTGGTTTGTCGCGTGGTGATGCTGAATTTGTTGATGCCATCCATACCAATGTCTATGGCATGGGTACCATCCAACGTGTTGGTGATGTTGATTTCTATCCCAATGGTCCTGCTCAAACTGTTCCTGGTGCTAAGAGTATTGTTGAAGCTAGTATGCGTGCTACCCGTTATTTCGCTGAATCTGTCCGTCCAGGCAATGAACGCAACTTCCCCGCCGTTGCTGCCAATTCATTGAAACAATACAAGAATAATGATGGTTTTGGCAAGCGTGTTTATATGGGCATTGATTGTGATTACGATGTTGAGGGCGATTATATGTTGGAAGTGAATTCCAAGAGCCCATTCGGTAAGAAAGCTCCAGCTCAAAAACAAAACACTTATCATGGTGTTCACAAGGCCTGGAAGAATTTCCGTGATAACGAATAAGTGTGTCGAATGATTTAATGTTACTACTGCCTACGATAATTAATTATGTTATAGATGAGGTGATGAAATAAATGTTGTGCAATTCTTTTAAAAAGATTTAATGAATTTTATTTAATAATGGTATTTTTTGGTTTCTACAAATTTAAATGAATTTTTTTTAATACATTAAATATCGTGATAAAATATCATGAATTCCGAGCTACTGGCGATCTTTTTCTGACTCTAATTCTCACAATTCGATTGGATTAATTGTGGATTGTACTTTCGTAGTTCATTACCGTGGAAAGCCAGTTGGGGAAACCTAAACTGGTGGACTGCAAACAGCCTGCTATCCAACCTTCTGGTGATAGCACGGCTAAACGCAGCGAGGAAATCTTGTCCGTAGTGGCAAGCACCTCATTAGCTGCACAAGCCTTAGCTGGTACGCCAGCAAACACCCCTGCCTCGGGCACTGCGGACCAAGCAGTGACCCCCGCGACCGCGGCTTCTGGACAGGTTGGATCGTCGAACTCGATGTCGGGTCCAACTAATGCTCCCTCAACCGCCCACACGGTTAACGAAAACCCCCTAGTCGCAAAGATCCATCTAGGAAGGTTTTTGTTCAAAGGCGTGCCGCTTTGCGTTTAGTCGAGTGACTTGGAGTTAAGTCGGTCGATGCGCTTACCACGGACGAAAAATCGTCCCTAGATTGGGCTAAAGCCCTACTGGCTCAGCCGGAGTGTTCTGACCCTCCTACAACCTCAGATGCAGCGGACCAAGCTACATCTGCAGGGCCTAAACGGCAGCGATCGGAGGAAGAACATGCTCTCCAGGCAGTCCCACAGCCGAAGACTAAACGTCAGAAGCAGTTCGAGACTCGTATAGTCAATAGACCCTACAGCGAAGTTGCTAAAAACCCGCTAGTTAGGGTTATTGTTGACAAGAGTGTCAACGACGGAGCTATCTCCCAGGACAAATGGTTGATAATTCGTCAAAAAATGCTGGAGGTGTATTGGAAAATTCTCAAAGAGAATCCCGGTCCATCTCCGCAGAATGATGATGCTGGCTGGTACCAAGGCCACATCAAACTGCTGGCGTGCACGAACGAGCGCTCAGCAAACCTGCATAAGTTGGCGGTTACGTCTATAGAGGAAGTGTGGCCCGGCGCGAAACTTGACGTGATCCCGGTTAGTGAGATACCTCGCAGACCGAGATCAATCACGGTTATTCCGGCGGAACCACATGAACCAGAGGCGATTTTGACGTACCTTCAGAGTGGAAATCCTGACCTACCTACCCACAATTGGAAGGTAGTCAAGGTCACCGAACCTGAGAAAGGTTATTCTATGGACCAGTCTATTGTCCAGTTTATTACGTAGTATTCTGAGAAGTCTATTAAACTAGTCTATGAACTAG